TCCCAACAGTACCAACCTTTGTCACCTACACTGAATAATTTTTTTAAGGCAGGCCAGGTTCTCCTATTAGTTTCTACCTACATTCCAGACTGATCCCTTCATCTTCTCTTTGCTTCCATGGGACTAAAGTATCTGATTGTTTATTCTCATTCCTGGTTGCTGTTGCTTGTGACTCAGCCTGGACCCTCACAGCTGTTCTTTCTGATACACTGGGAATGTTAAGGCTTTAACTGCGAACATACAAAGAAATAGAAGGGATTTTTAAAATTCCAAATAATAAGGATTATCAAAAGCTAGAAAAACTCTTAAAAGTAATACCGATCATAGGTTTGCTAGTCTACGTTAAAATGCAAATGAAGCTAGGTCAAAGAGTCCCTTTCCTGAGTCATTCACTCTGAATCTAGAGTCTAGACCAAGCCCTGAATCCAAGTTCAGCAGATTCCCATTGGCCCAATGGGATTGCTAATTCTTTTCAGATTTGGCTTCCTAGTCTTCTCTGTTTATCTTCTCTTTTTCTCTGGCTCTCAAGCCTGTTACCCTTTCATCACAATTATTCTTGGTTTGTTCTCCTCGTCCTTTTTCTTCCTAGCAACTTGAAAGAGAAGGACCATTAAGGACCCCTTCTCTAAACTTTAAGAAGTCTCTATTGACCTAAAAATTACCCTTTTTGCTCTTTGGAGTTCCTGCATTCTCTATCAGTATTTATTTGAAATCAATTTACTAGGAATCATTGAGGCTCATTCTTTCAGCTCTGAACATGTGAGTAGGCTTAATTCTCTACTGAGACCCCATTAGTTTGCTCCATCCAGAGGTTAGCCTCTGTATGTTATCTCTGGTCTCACTAGTTTCCAGACAGCATAATCCCATCCTACCTTGTTTTTTTTTTTTTTTAATCCTACCTTTGATAAACTCAATTACTTTTTTTCTTTTTGTATCTGAAGGAAACATCATTGTGCAGTAACTGAACATTTATGGATTACTTGAAACACCCTAATTTCAAATTACTGTTAAGATTCTTTGGTTGTTCCTTCTTGATTATGTACATGCCCCTCATTTTGTGTTGTATGTGTTTTTTTTTTTTTCTTCTTATGTCCTCTTTTCTCCAAAAGGTGGCTTTCCAGGGTCTTATGATTATTTTAAAAAATGTTATACATGGTAACCATTACTAGTATTCACAAATACCCAATTCTCCTTCCCATTATACTTTCCAAGCTTCTTTAGTTAGGTGAGAGCAGTAGACTGGCTCTGGCCAATGAAATGTACATGGGTGTGATGTGTGAACATTAAGCTGAGACAATGAAAAACCTCTGAATTTCTCTAATCTGTTTTGTCCCCTATGATGATGACCGGCTATACCCTGGGCAAAGGACTCTGTCAGCCTCTCCTTATGTTTATAAGGAACAGAACTGCTGTTTTGTTGACTCTCATTGGGCATGTAGTGTGAGGAAGAAATAAACTTGCTGTGTTAGAAACTGATATTTCAGGGCTAATTTGTTACTGAGATATAGCCTATTCTGATTAATACATTATGTTATGAGCAGGGTCTAGCAATAAGAAGATTACCTTCTCTGGCAGAAGAGGCTCAAGATTCCCTAGAATGTAACTGATGATAAATCCATTTTGATGTTCATACACTTTGGAAGGAATGATTTATTTTTAAATAAGGAATGATTTTTTTAAAAGATAAGACAACACTTTGAGTTTTTAAACATGGACAAATTCAGAGACGATTTTAGCATCTAGAGGTGCAAATTCTTTGCTTTTGTCTGAAAATTAGATTTCTTTTCAGAGTACAGTTTTCTGTAAAACTATTTTTTAATTCCTACGTTGTATTTCAAAAACTTTCATATCGAAGGAGGCAATCAAATATTTAGAGCTGTAAGAACAGGTCAGCTTCATGATTCCCACCCCACTCATGGGATCAACTGTGGCACAGTACAAAGAATTCCAGTGCCATGGATTCCATTATGTCCAGAATTGTCTTGTGTTTTGCCTTCCAAACCTTCCTTTACCACCTTACTTGTTCATTCCTGAGGCTTTTCTTGATGTCTTGTCTCTGGACTTCACCCTTCAGTTAGACCTAATTTTTCGAAGTTACTTGTTTCCCACACTCTCAGCTGGGACCTGAGCATCAGTCCCCATTTGTTCTTCAGCTAAAAGCTTATTTCCCCTCCCCCATTCCCACACTCACTCTCAACTCCTGGAACTGCTAAGCCCAGGCCCCCCACATTCCCAGGAAAAGAAGTCAGCAACAGGAGGTCAGGCAAAAACGTCTGAAGCTCATGCAGATTGCGATAGAAATTATTTTTATAGTAATTTTAGGAAACCAGTCTCATTTGCATCAAACTTTTCCACAATTTTAATTATTTCTGGGCTCACAAGTTGTAGTTTACTTCTTAAAGGCATTGCAATCCATCAGTGTGTACATGTATTGATATCCTGATGGTGAGATAGAAAAGAGGGAAGGATCAGGCTGCAAAGTGCTTTATAAAGAAGGACAGTTTTCTTATTTTCCAGATGGGTCAGGGAGGCACAGCTGGAAAGAGAATGTGGATTTTTATCCAAATCCTGTGCTTTCATTTGTCTTGGCAGCTGCATTCTGAAGAGTGTAAGTCATTAAGAGGACGCAGCACTCTGGGCTGAGCTTCTGTGCAAGGTAGCACTGCAACATAGTGCTGTGAACATCTTAGACACACCTTATGCATTGTCTAGTTTATATAAATCGCTACATAATTCCTACACACAGACCAGGACACTTTATATAAAATGTAGTTCAACATTTCTTACATATCCATCTTAATCAGTATAATTTTGCTGAACTGAATGCTCTCATTTTCAGAGCTTACATTATTATGGCTGCCAATATTATCATAAGAAGAAAAAAATTGATCAAAGTAATTTCCCTGAACATGAAATGACTTATTCTATCAAGTATTCCTCAAGTATTGAAAAAAAAATCAAGGGGCGCCTGGGTGGCTCAGCGGGTTAAAGCCTCTGCCTTCAGCTCAGGTCATGATTTCAGGGTCCTGGGATCGAGCCCCGCATCGGGCTCTCTGATCAGCAGGGAGCCTGCTTCCCCTCCTCTCTCTGCCTGGCCTCTCTGCCTACTTGTGATCTCTGTCTGTCAAATAAATAAATAAAATCTTAAAAAAAAAAGAAAAGAAAAAAAATCAAGAATTACTATTTTATTATTCACTTATTATTATTAATTACAAGTTACTGATCCTTTACAAGTTCTCTTCCTCTGGTCATATAGTCAGTGATAACTTCTAGCAAAGGCTGCTGATGATTTAAAAAATGTTCACGTTTCATAGCTTAATTCATGTTCCATTAACATTAAAGCATTTCCTGAAACAGGGAATAATTATGCAAAGTACAGTAGATTTAATGTGATCCAGGATCCAAGACATCCTGTTCTTGGTACAGTTGGGAAGACTGTTAAATTGGAAAGGGGAAGTCTTCTTTTGATAGTCCTCTAGCCTCTGCCTGCTTCTTCTTATCTTTTCCAGCTTCTTTGTTTTGTTTTCCTTGGTGCTCCTTAGTTGACATTGATCTATCGACTCAGGAAAGATATTGTTATCTCCTTGGTATTTATTTGAAACCTTAATGTATCTCAAATCTTCATTTCAACATAGGATGTTAAGTTGGGACTGCAGTATCTATGAAATTTTTCAGTACGCAAACCACAAATGTTAAACATTAAAACTCAATCTTGGAAGGAAGGGAAAAATTTAAAACCATGTTTTAATAATAATGTCAATAACTTAGCTATTTTCATGTATTCTCTCTTTTATTTACAAAGTATGATTATATGTATTTCTCTTTCTGTTACCTAGCTTTTTCTTTTTATAATGATTGGGATACTAGTGAAACGAAAAAGATGTTAAAAAAAGCAAGAAGCTGGGGTGCCTGGGTGGCTCAGGGGGTTAAGCCTCTGCCTTCAGCTCAAGTCATGGTCTCAGGGTCCTGAGATGGAGGCCTGCATCAGGCTCTCTGCTCAGCAGGGAGTCTGCTTCCCCCTCTCTCTCAGTCTGCCTCTCTCCCTGCTTGTAATCTCTCTGTCAAATAAAAAAAATCTTTAAAAAAAAGGGGGAAAAAAAAAGTCAAGAAGCTGTATTTGTGCCCTTATAGCTATTGGCATATTCCAATATCAATGAGATGGTAGAGTTTTAGGAACTATTCTGAGCAATTTTGCCCATTAGGGCATCTAATACTGACTACCAAAAAAAAAAAAAAATCAGTAAAGTCTATACTGTTCACTTTTCTTCCTACTCAAAACTAAGGGTTTTGTTTTTTTTTTTTCTACTCAAGACATACAAGATTTAATTAAGAATGACATCTTACACTATGAGACATACTGAATGTAGTTTCTTAAATAATTCATATGTACAGCAGCTAAAATAAAAAAGCAAATGTAAACTGTGGGGGCAAGAAGCACATGTCTCTGTTCATTTTGGACCTTCAACATCCAACCTATTTTTTGGAACATGGTAAACAGGAAGTAGATATTTGTAAATTTGAAAATAAATTGGTAACACATTATCAATATATGAGATGGTTCTGGTTTAACTACCAATTCCTCCTCACTGCATCTCTTCATTGAGAATGGTTCTGGAGTCATTAAAGGAATAAGGGTGCTGTTCACCTTAGGGTCAGCCTCTCTTCTGTGGTGCTGGTTCTGCATTATCATACTGGTTTTTTATTTATTCTCCACTCATCTATTTTTGCTTTCATTTCTAGTCCCTGTCACAGTATGAGTCAGTCCACATCTTCTTTCTCTTTTCTTTTTCTTTTTCTTTTCTTTTCTTTTCTTTTCTTTTCTTTTCTTTTCTTTTCTTTTCTTTACTTTACTTTACTTTTCTTTTCTCTTTTCTTTTCTTTTCTTTTCTTTCTTTTCTTTTCTTTTCCTTTCTTTTCCTTTCCTTTCCTTTCCTTTCCTTTCCTTTCCTTTCCTTTCCTTTCCTTTCCTTTCCTTTCCTTTCTTTCTCTCTCTTTCTTTCTTTCTTTCGGAACACTTCACAAATTGCATGCCATCCTTGCCCAGGGACCTTGCTAATCTTCTCTGTAACATTCCAATTTTAGTATATGTGCTGTCAAGCAAGCGCAGACTGTTTCTTTCTAGATGGGGTGTTTTCATGTATTACTCCTGCTCTCCTAATTGGGAAATAGAGCTTTCATTTGTATGTTGCAATAGCTCAGGCTCTAGGCCTGTAATTTTTCTTTATCCATCATCTTCCTCTCTTTTATTTTTTCTCCTCTCTTTCCATTGGCTCTCTTCCCACCAGCATATATTTGATATTTAAACATACTTAAGATGTATCCATTTTAAGAACAGCTAAGTAAAAGTAAAGTACCTTGACATTTATGCCTTTTAGGTAAGATTTCTTCCTTGCTTTCTTGGCCAGGTCATTTGAAATACCAGTCTACCTGGAATATTTCTCTTTCCTTTGCTCCTGCTCTTTTCAACACAAGGTAATATCTCTTCTGCCTATCACACCTCACAAAAAGTATCCTTCATAAGGCCTTAATTCTCGGGATGATCTCCTATGATAAGGAAGTAAAATGCTATGATTTTTAATTACATTTTTATTAATATTCATGTCCTCGTTGACACCGGAACCTCACTTGGTCACATGTTAAGTCAAATGATGGATCCTGAGGGAAGAGTCAGAGCCACACTGTGGAGTTGTTTCTATGTAACTGCTATGTGTTGTAGTTTTCAATTACAATGATGACACTTTTAATCCTTGTATAAGCTCTTAATCTGGGATATTAGGAGTTAAAAACAGTAACAGTCTAACAGGCCACTATGAAAAATATGTTAAAAAATAAAATCATCAGTATCTATTTAAAATATATATTTACTGGGCACCTGAGTGGCTCAGTTGGTTAAGTGTCTGCCTTTGGCTTAGGTCATGATCCCAGAGTCCAGGGATCAAGCCCCGCATCAGGCTTCCTGCTCAGGGGGTTCTCATTCTCCCTCTCCTTCAGCCCCCCACCGCTCCTTCTCTCTCTCTTGCTTACTCTTTCTCAAATAAATAGGTAAAATCTTCATTTAAAAAAATCTATACTTACAACTACCATAAAGATGAAGTTTATCCTACATGCCTTGAAATAATTGCTAATATTAGCAAAATATTAATAATAGCTATTAATATCAGCCAGGCCTTCAAAATACATTAACTCATTCACACTTTTTTCTATTTTTTGTATTATATAATACACACAATCCGTTGGTACAATAGAATGTTCATATAATCTATAAATAAGTGATTATACATACATGGTTGGTTTGTGTTCAAATTGTGTTCCCTTATGGAGTATGCAATCAAAACACAGATCACTGTATTATATTGCTTTACCTATTTATGGTAGATGGCTCTCCTGTAGTTGAAGTATTTCCTCATCAATTAATTTTGGGTAATGAAACAATCTGTGTGTCTCATTGGATAATTATAATATGCATAAGCATACTAAATGTCCTGAAATGTCCTTTAGTAAGTATATTTTTCATTTTACTGTGTTTACAAAGCATCTCCCAAACTTACTTGTTTAGAGACAGTTCTTTTGTTTTGGTGGCACCACTCTTAAAATGCTTTGGATTAGGGTTTCACAGATTGGGAAATATTGATTGCTGATTTAAAAAAATATCTATGATGCATTTTTCAGTGAGAAAAGAAGATTCCAAGCCAATATGAATTGTATGATTTGATTTAACATTATATGGACATATAAAAATCTGAATTGACATATATACTAAGATGCAAGAAGAACTAGATGATGAATTTATTAATGATTCTTTGTTTTTCTATTTGATCAGCGTAGCAATGCTTCGATTCTATCTCTTTCACTGTCTATGTGCCTATGGTAAAATTATTTAAAATCTTTGTGTTCTAATTTCAATCATAAAATATGCTTTAAGTCTTTTACTTGGAATAAGCTGTACTATCTGTTCTAATATTTTTTATATTCAACAAGTACTTAATGTGTACCTATTGTGAGACAAGCACAATGAAAGTGACTTGTTTATATGATTTAAAGCATTTTAAGAAAAAACCCTCAGAATTCAGATATATTAAAATTGAATTAAAACTTACTATGTCAGGCGCCTGGTTGGCTTAGTGGGTTAAAGCCTCTGCCTTCGGCTCAGGTCATGATCTCAGGGTGCTGGGATTAAGCCCCGCATCAGGTTCTCTGCTTGATGGGCAGCCTGCTTCCCTCTCTCTCTGCCTGCCTCTCTGCCTATTTGTGATCTCTGTCTGTCAAATAAATGAATAAAATCTTTTAAACAAAAACAAAAACAAAATAAAACAAAACTTACTACATCATTCAGACCCATGATCCCTTCAGTATAGCAAGGTTCCTGACCTGGGACCACAATGGAACAAGCAACAATGTCAAAGTGCTTATCATGATCCTTGCTATTGATGTTAAAGGCCAAGAATGTGACCTGAATATTTTCCTTTAATAATCCTTTATTCATAAATGTAATCTTCTTTTTTCTCTGATTTTTTTTTGTATATTGCCTTAGTGTGGCAAAACTTATTTGAAGCTGTTCATGTTTTTACTTTTTACTACTTCTTAGGAGGTTACAAATTCTCTGAATTCCTTACATGATAAATTAGATATTAATTATTTGTATTTATTTTAACTATGTCTATAGGAGTGTCACAATACTGACTCTGTCTTTGGCCCTCCATCTTGTTCTTCCCTCTGGTGCACAGGTGACGCCAATTTAGATAACTGCCTTGTGACCTTACCATCATGCCCCTCACTCCAGTCTCATGGGGATTAAGGTCTGGTTGGGGACAGAGAATATGGGACAGAGAATAGCAGCCAACAATACCTGCATAATGCCCTGGGTTGTCCCTCCATCTGCCTACCTGTCCAATTGCTCCTGCCAGTAACTTTTCCTGAGTAAGACTATGTAAATGATGTGGAGTGGCTTACTTTGTTTTTTGGTATTAAAGTGCCCTTCTCAGTCTGGAGGATACATTACTGACCCTCCAACAATTTCTAACAATGTCTTACTCAAGCTTTGTGCTTTGAGCACCCAATAAGACTGCTGATCATGTATTTTGTTGCCATATTTATAAAGTGACACATTGGTTGAAGGGCTTTAGAGCGTACTGTATGTATAATCCAAGAATGAATCAGTGTCAGAAGAATCTTTTTGGAGCAACTATGAATCAGATTTGTTTAGGATTTGCTTCTGGAGTATTCTATACTCTAAAGTAACTGAAAGACTACTTTGCCTTCTGAGCCTGTATACTGTAGAACAGTGCCTAATAACATGAAGAAAAATGAGAATAAAAACCGCAGTGCAGGCTTTAACTTGCTTTATGTATTGCTTTAAGTTTCTTTCTATATTGCTAAACATAGGCTGTTATTATCATGAACACTAAATCCCAAATCTCTTTCCCTTACAGTTAAAAAACAGTCATTCTTATTTTAGAAACATATTTTCTAGTCTGGTTTCTTGTTCTGAAGGTGACAGCATTAAAGGGAGTGGACTCTTCAAAAGCACTCATCTTTGGTTTATACTTGAAATCACAGTTTTTCAACCCTGCTATTATTGATACTTGGAGCTGCATAATTCTCAGTAGGGGGCATTGTTCCGTGCATTTTTGAAAATTTAGCAGCATCCCTGGCCTCTACCCACTCAATGCCAGTAGCAAGCCCTCTTTGCCACCAACTGTGACAACAAAAAATGTCTTCAGTTATAAAAATTCATCTCCAGTTGAGAAGCATTGCTTTAAATATCGACATTATTTCTTTCTCTTGTACATTTGGGATAAAACAGATTGAACATTTGATGTTCAGTCAAATTGAACATCAATTGGTTGTGGGGGTGGTCTCTGAAAGAAACACATGTTTTCCTCTCTGAGTTGTTTTAGAAAAGACTTTTAACAATTTTCATTTAATGTGTAAATCTAATCCTAGAGACCAGAGGAAAGGGTCTAGGTATAGATATAGGAGTTATTTATTCAAGGCTTCATACCAGATATGAATATATCACAAGACATATTTCTTTTGATGTCTTCCTTATTTGTGTAATGATTGGCCCCAGTCATTCCCAAATGAAGATACTATCATTTGGACTTGATCATGTTGTGTCTGGGACCAAGTGTTTTTCTGAACTGTCAGTATGCATGCTACTTGTCCATAGTTTATAGATGCTTTATTCAGTTTGTTCTTCCAGAAGAAAACTAAACTCAACACCCAAAAAACAAATAATCAAGTCAAGAAATGGGCAGAAGACATGAACAGACACTTCTCTAAAGAAGACATATAAATAGCTAACAGACAAATGAAGAAAGTTCGACATCATTAGCCATCAGGGAAATTCAAACCACATTGAGATACCACCTTACACCAGTTAGAATGGTCAAAATTAACAAGGCAAGAAACAACAAATGTTGGCGAGGCTGTGGAGAAACAGGAACCCTCTTATGCTATTGGTGGGAATGTAAGTTGGTGCAGCCACTTTGGAAAACAGTGTGGAGTTTCCTCAAAAAGTTAAAAATAGACCTACCCTATGACCCAGCAATTGCACCACTGGGTATTTACCCCAAATATACAGATGTAGTGAAAAGAAGGGTCATATGTACCTCAGTGTTCATAGCAGCAATGTCCACAATAGCCGAATTGTGGAAGGAACTGAGATGCCCTTCAACAGAAGAATGGATAAAGAAGATGTGGTCCATATGGACAATGGAATATTACTCAGCCACCAGAAAGGATGAATACCCAATATTTGCAGCAGCATGGATGGAACTGGAGGAGATTATGCTAAGTGAAATAAGTCAAACGAGAAAGACAATTATCATATGGTTTCACTTATTCATGGAATATAAGGAATATCATGGAGGACATTAGGAGAAGGAAGAGGAAAATGAAGGGGGAGAAATCAAAGGGGAGATGAACCATGAGAGACTGTGGACTCCAGGAATCAAATGGAGGGTTTTGGCAGGGCACGGGGGAGATGGGTGAACCTGATGATGGGTGTTAAGGAGGGCATGTATTGCATGGAGCACTGGGTATTATATGCAAACAATATATCATGGAACACTACATCAAAAACTTATGTACTCTATGGTGGCTA